TGACAAGATAATCCGAATTTCAGATGCATTCAATTTCAACGTGTTTCAGCAGTTCATGAGAATAGGACAGAATACGAGGATCAAGTTACTACTTCAAATTCTAACTATGATATTAATATGTATATTTGGACTTGGTGGACTGTTGTGTTGTGTCAGAAACCTAACCATTGTAGAAAAACATTCGCTCCAACTAAGACACATTTCACAAGAAACAAGTCCATGCATGATATGAATAATCATATATGGACTTGGGAGACTATTGCTATGGTACAACATGATGTGAACCCATGTATCAACGGACACTATGAAACCCAAAAAAGATTATCGAACCCAAGAAAACCAAAATTAATCCCGATTTAAGGATTTGAAAAAAAAAACAATGAATCAAGCAACCCCGCAATACAAATATGTGAAGGACCTCTTGCTTATACAATTCGTAATTGGCACCCAATGTTGAACACCACAAGATTACTCTTGATAAGTTCAAATTTTTGTTCTAAAGAAGAACAAGGATCTCAAAATAATGTCAAAATTGTACAATGAATTGAGAAGATTGTATTTATACTAACTCTAAATAACCTAGTAAAAACGAAAAGTTCAATTAAAGATTACAAGAATTTTGCCTAAAATAGGATTCTAACAAAATAAAGAAATTCATGGCAAAGGAAAATCTCGGTCTTGATTTTGTCATGGTACATTTCTGTGCGGCCGCATGAAACAACTTGTTGAAGCCCTTTTGGTTTCCGTGAGCCACCATACAACCGCATGGTGTCCAACACTATGCGGCATGGTGACCAACACAATGTGGTCGCATAGTGTAACACCCCAAATATCAATGACTTAAATTTTGAGGTGTTACCAATATCATTCCATAATCAAACATGAAGTAGAAATAAAATTGAAAGTTTAAAGCTCCAAATTTATTTAATACTCAAACACTGAATAAAAAAAAATGTCACATAACATAGAACATTCAATGAAAATAAATGGAAACATAAACTATCCTAGCAGAATTATTTATTTATTTTTATGTTTTTCTAAAAATTATACTTTGCTGCCCCCGTACTGCTCAGTCACCATCTATGTCGACCTCACTAACCTGAAATATTAAAGTTTGAAGGAGTGAGTAATTTATATTCAATAGGATACGTGCATCCAAAACAATATAATGACCCTTAAAACATGAATTTATAACCTTCCATACCATCATTTCATCAAGAGCAATTGGTGATCAATCGAATACTCTAATACATTTGAGAAGACCCGAAGGAGATCCCATATGTCATTCCATTTCATTTCATTGGGACCCGCAAGTCAATTAGCATTTCATGAAATAAATCATGTATAAAAATCATAATATTGCAAGGATTTATCACTTGCACATAGTCTCCTGCCTCGTGAGATCAATGAATTTTTGAAAGAATATTCCATTTCCAAACTTTTGCGAATGAATTTTTTGAAAGAATATTCCAATTTCCAAACGTTTGCGGCTGCCTCGAATGTAATTAAGGATGAAGAACGGCTTTTTTGCTTAAAGATAAGTGACAATAATTTGACTCTTGCAACACAATTTAAAAAAAAAAAAAAAAAAAGGTCTTGGTGCCTTTGAAATTGGGAAGCCATGTACCACCGGTCATTTTTTTGATTAGTTTTCAATATTTGGATTATACTTTTATAACAAATCATGGTCATCCAAATGGAAGGGCATGATCTAGGATAAAGTTTTTATTGTATTTAATTAAATTGTTTCTAGCCAAAATTACAGTAAAGGAATGGAAAGGACATGTGATACTAACCACTATAATATAAAATTTGGGTTTCTTATTATTCTAACGGTGGTGCTAGTGGTATAAAAGGGTATACCTAAGCGTGTACATCCCGCTCACATGGGGTGTGAGATCCACCCAAATAAAAAATACTTATTCGGGTGGACACACACCCTATGTGAGGAGGGTGTATACACTTAGGTACACCCCATTATGTACCACCAGAGTAATTCATTATTCTAATTCAACTAAGTAACAGCAACTCCTTAGCCTTTCATCCTAATGTACACGTGTGGCTGCCCATATTTATTCCCGAAATCAAAGCAAATGGATATCTTTACTTTCTTAAAAGAGAGGCTTTTGTTACTACTCACTTATGTCACAACCGTTTTCACACTTGAATCCAATTTATCCGGTTTTGCTACAGTAGTTTGTCCTTCTTTTTTTTCTTTTTTTTTTTTCCTCCTTTACATTGTTTTCCCACTTTACCCTTGAAAATCCCACCTTACACTAATTAACACATTGAGGGCTTAATGGTCACTTGTGCCCACAGTTGTTGACTTTGCACAGACAAGTTTTTTTTTTAATTTTAATTTTTTTAATTATACTATTAATATTTTTTTTTGTAAACTTTGAAAAAACGCGTTTGATGTAATTTTAACTATTTTCGATATTCATTTACATCAATTCGATGAGTCCATAATATAGTTCTCGAAACGACTTCGATAAAATATAGACAATATATTTTTTATAGATGTTGCGTTAAAAAAAATGACGAGTTATGCGTATTTTTTAGATTTGACGTCAAACTATAATTGGGGATTTGGAAGGGAAAACGGTGAAATTTGACCTCGAAAATGATGTCCACCAAGCGAAGCTAGGTGGCCATGACGTGCGTGTCGAAAAGAGCTTTCTGAATTGGGGTCATGGGCTCAATTCCGATAACTGTAGCAAAACTTATAGCCAAATTTAAAAAATAATAATAATAAATTTAGAAAAAAAATAAGTCCGTAAGAAAAAAAAAGAGTAAAATTAGATACTCCGCGCTGCGCAGAGTGCCTGCCAGTGAGCACTCCGCGCTGTGCGGAGTGCCTGAATTCAAATTTTAAATTTTTTTTTTTACTTATGTTTTTGTGTTCATTTTCAGGCTCATTACGGAATATCAAATAAAGTCGAAATATTATATTCTTAATATCGTTTTGAAGTATTCGCGACATAGTATTGCACGTCGTTCACGGTGCGTGAAACGGTCAATCATAGCAAATGTTATCGGACGTCAAAGTAGGTATGTTCAAACTATATTTCGAAATTTTCGATAATGAGCTAACTTTAAAAATTTATCGACGACTGTGCGATAATCGAATCGATAAATATTTTACATTTTCTCGAAACTCATTTTGAGAACTATATCGTAGAGACATCGAATGATTTAAATAGATATCAAAAGTAGTTAAACGGAAACGTATGTGTTAAAAAATACGAATAATTCGTTTTTCTTTAAAAAATCAATTATTTTATTACTATTTCGAAATTTTCGATAACAAATTAACTTTAAAAATTCGTCGACGATTATACGATAGTCGAATCGATAAATGTTTTACATTCTCTCGATTTTTTTTTTACTTATATTTTTGTGTTTATTTTCAGGCTCATTACGGGATATCAAATGAAGTCGAAATATTATATTCTTAATATCGTTTTGAAATACTCGCGACATAGTATTGCACGTCGTTAACTGTGCATGAAACGGTCAATCATAGCAAATATTATCGGACGTCAATGTAGGCATTTTCAAACTATATTTTGAAATTTTCGATAACAAACTAATTTTAAAAATTCATCGACGACTGTGCGATAGTCGAATCGATAAATATTTTACATTTTCTCGAAACTCATTTTGAGAACTATTTCGTAGAGACATCGAATGATCTAAATAGATATCAAAAATAGTTAAATGGACATTAAACGTATGTGTTAAAAAATACGCATAATTCGTTTTTCTTAAAAAAATCAATTATTTTATTACTATTTCGAAATTTTCGATAACAAGTTAACTTTAAAAATTCGTCGACGATTGTACGATAGTTGAATCGGTAAATGTTTACATTCTCTCGAAACTCATTTTGAGAACTATATCGTAGAGATATCGAATGATCTAAATAAATATCGAAAATAGTTAAACGAAGATTAAACGTATGTGTTAAAAATGCATTTTTTTTTAAAAAATTATTTCTTTTTTCCTTTTTAATTCTTTTTTTTTTGACGTCAAATTTTTTTTTTTTTTTTTTTGGTTTTAACGTAAAATTTTTTAATAATCATTCTTTTATGCAAAAAATTGTATTAGATTATTTTAAAAATTAATTTATCAAGAACAAAAAGTAACAATAAGAAAAAAAACTCCTAAAAATTATCGAATTTTTTTATATATAAATTTTTTTTAGATGTTAAAATAATTAAGATGAAAAATTTGTTGGCTCAATTTCTTGTTGCTATAATTCAAATGTATTTTTTCAAACATTATTATTTTAGCCTAAGTGATTATTTTACTTATAAATGATGTATTTGATAATACTATATTCAATATAAGTAAGTCGTTTAATTAATCGAATCATTTTTTTATTGTTGAATATCTAATTGATATAATTAAATCGTTTAATTAATCGAATCAATTTTTTATTGTTTGCAGTCTCCCTTTGTTTCCTTATTTAATATGCTAATATCTCCTTTTATAAAATTCAAGCCATGCATTACAGGGCACAAGACTAGTATTAAAATAAAATTAAGTCACAATTCTTATCAATCCCAAAAATCAAGGAATTTAAATATTAAAATAAACCGACCTTTTTCGACTATTTCTACACGTTTCTGCCAACTAGATGATTTCAAAAAGCCAACCTAGTTATTCTAAAAGAAATTGACTCTTTTGGTGGCATATAACACGGTGTATAGTGTACTAAGCCAAGAAGGTGCATTTAAAGTCTAATTTACCTCTCAATCAACATCAATCAAAGAAAATATTTCTTCATTTAAATCAGCACACGTGTGGTTAGCTTGAAAATGTCCAAAATCAATATTAACATAATGTAAATTTAGGTAATATATTTCAACATCAATAACATGAGAATAGCTTATACGAAATACTTATTTCTCGAGTCCAATGAGCATTATTTAATACGAGCTACACAATAAACCCAATATTTGTATACTAATTCTAGTTCTATTGAAAAATAAATATTTAACCCAATTAAAATTGGATTTAATCATATATCACTTTAGTCCACAAATATAAAAATATAGCGAATAAGTTTATTTTATACAAAATTTTCGAGGCGTTACACAGTGTTGAAAATCCATCCCGACTTCAGCTACTTGAATCAAGTTACTCCAATTGATTTCACCCTTTGCCCCCAACATGAAACTCACTTCATTTTGCACCACGATCATCGTCTCATCAATTGTTGATTGAACTAATATCCTTGTCGCTTGATTTACCCATTTTCCCCTAAAACACGTCATTGGTCCACCTTCGATAATCAATGGGTCTCGTCCTGAGCTTGACTCTTGGATCACATCACAACAAGAAGCCTATGTAGCATCCCATGGGAATGGCATCCCACACGAAGCTCCTCTCCTACGTGGCAAAGCCCAAATATGAAGCTTGCTCGTCGAAGTAGTTGTAGTTTGGAGTTCAGTCTGAAGCTTGTTTGTGACTCATTTCCTTTGAAGATCTCCACTTGATATACTCTTATTCTAATGATTTATGTGACCCCTCTAATAATTAAAATATCAAAATCTTATCAACATAGGTTGTAGAATGACTACCTCTTTATGAGCACTAAATATGTCCAGACTAGAAAGGTCAAACTGAAGCCTAGTACAGGAAGAAGATGAAGCCATGTGCTTCCTCATTCAATGAATACCATTTCATATGTAACATTATAAATAACCCTTCCTTGTATCCTTTGAAGGGTAATGCAAAATCAAACATTGAAGAGTATAGTTAATGCTTCTCTCTACTTTGTTATTCTCTGTTACTTGATTTAGATATTTAACCTTGAGTTTATGCTTTCTTGATTATTCTTTACCATACAACCCTATTTATATATATTGTCGGTGCCCAAATATCTTTATCTCGCGTTGTAAAGCTTCTCCTTCACTCAAACCCGAAATATGATTGACTAGTAATCCGTTTAAGCGTGTTGAAATTAGCTTGCATAGATGCGAGTGGACCTAGTATTGGGCCCAATATATGTTTTTTAGGTGTGCTACAAAAATCGAGGTCACAAAAGAAAACTCTATCCATAATAGTCGAACATTAATCTATGAGTTAGTAATATTAAAAATATATTATGTTCTAAACTTATAAATATAAAGTAAGAATAAATTTCTCGAATAGCATCCTAGTACTAGATAGGATTAGAGTGACGATGATTGATGATAAGTGCAATGGTTGCACTTATTTAGACCACATTATTAAACTTTTTATGTCTTTAAATTATTGAATTTAATTTAATTTGGATTAATTTTTGTTTATTTCAGTATTTGACCCGTTTTGAAGCAATTGAAAAGGAAAAGGATCAATTGGGCATTAAATTGAAGTTTACGGACCAAAGCTTACTTGAATAATAGTTGGAGGATCAAAATTGAGGAAACAATGAAGAAAATGACTAATTTGCATTAATTGTAATGAAGTAGGGCCTTGGAAAAAAAATTGCAACTAAATTGGGTCTCAACTTGGTGGTTTAGGTTATATATGTAGGATATATACACACACACGCAATGAGAGGAGAGGCAGCTTGGAGTTTCTTGAAAAAAAAAAAATTAGGCGGCTTTTCACTTCAAATTGGAGAAAATCATAGGAAAGGGAGCTGCTGAGGGATTTTAATAGAGAGAGATACAATTCAGCAAGAAGGAGGGCGAAGAGGAGGAAAGAACACGACTGCAAATCTGGAGAAAATTGCAGAAATAAAACGGCTGCCATTTTATATATTACATACGCCAACTAGAGGAGAGAAAAAGGCAGAGTTTGCTGGGAAATTAATAGACAAAAACCACAAAAGGGGCTGGCTGCCAATTGGTTGAAATTATACAAACATTGGGGCTGACTAGGCTGATTTTTATATATATACTACACATACAATTTAGACAGAAGATAGAGAGAGGAGAAGAAAGTGAGGGCTGCTTGTAGAAGCTGGAATTGAACTCCTCAAACAATGCAATTGGCGGCTGTTGGAAGAAAAACAAGAAAAGTGGGCAGCTTTGAAGAATTTGGTGGCTGCAAGTGTTTTGGCAGAAGACAAAACATTCAAGGCCTTGTATTGGAGCCAATTTTGGGGATTTATATACATAAAAGGGAGACTAACCTAATAAGAAAAAAAAAGTAGCTGCCAACTCACTGGAATTGCACACACACGCCAACATTGAAGGAAAAATTGGGCTGAATTTTATATATATACACACACATAATTTGAAGCAGCTTTGAGGGGGGGAAAAAAAGAGAGAGCTACTTGTTGTTGGAGAAAAACATACACGCACAGAGGCTAAGAAACATTGAGGAATTAATCACTCCCCGTTAATTTTTGGTGATCTCCTTCCTCTTTTATATGTCTAATTCCAACATTATGCTAGGCTAAGTCTTTTTAGTTTTAATTCGAGACCTATATTCTTATCTTAATTCTTGTATTGTGATTCCATTAATATGCATAATTATATTGTTTTAATATTTGCGTACCATTAGGACAATGATTTTCTTATTCTTAGTGTTGAAAAACTCACGGTGGGTAGAACACTATTATTAGGACACACGAGCAATAAATGTTAAGGAATAATATTTGTGGCTTGTGCGATCATATGTGGTAATCTCAAATGTCAATGCATGTTTGCCATATGAATTCGGACTAGCAATATGATCGTCTCGTGAAAATCATAGATTTATTATATCTTGGAAAAAATAATAAATAAAAGTAAAATTATCGATCGTCGCAATTGCATGAATTAAGATAATTATTATTGATTGAGAATTAGAACTCAGTGGAGTCCGAAATCCAATACGTTCACACATTTGATTTTTAAACCAACTTTCATTGTTTTCACAAGTTTTAGTTATAAAAATTAGATAGTTATTCATTCGATCGTCTTTTGTTTATAAACATGAGTTTAAATATATCAAATATACTAGAATTGATCATTATTTCCTATGGGACGATAACTCTCTCATCACGATTATTACTTGTACAATGAACCTGTACGCTTGCCTGATTTTGATGAACAATTGAATTACTTTTGATGGTCATGTTTTATTAATTAATTATTTAAGATAATGATATTTATAGTCGCTCACTATTGTAGTCGTTATATGTGGCATACATGTGGCGGTTAGTGATTTGATACATGAATTAATAAAAAACTATCATATTAATATATCAAATCACAAATCGTCATATAGGATGCCACGTAGGACGACTACCACATTGAGCAACTATGAATAATATTACTCTTATTATTTTTTGGATACAACTTAAATCAAAAACACATGAATATGCAAGTAAAAAGATTCAGGATGGGTGGGTTCGAAGAATTTGGAAGCGGGAGCTAGGGGTGGGCGTGGGTTGGGTTGGGTTGGATCGATTTTTTGTCCAATCCAAATCCGACCCAATATGATCGATTTGATCTAAAATCAACCCAACCCAATTCAATCAAGTTTCGATCGGGTTGGTCGGTTTAGATTTCAAACCAAAAAAATTTGTTGGACAATAAAAACCATAAAGAAAATTGCTTCAAAACAATCATCCAAGTATTCATTCAAAAGTCAAAACCGTAAATGCCCAAGTCATAGGTACCACACATATTTCAAACCAATTGAACGAGAATAGAAAACACATTCTATTTCCAGTAATTTTCCTTTCACAGGGTAATCAAATCAACTTCGAGATACAAATATATGGCCTATTCTTTGAAATAATATTCACCTCAAAGTAATGCAACATAGGCCAAATTCTCACTCAATCCCATGAGTAAACATTGAAACCCCGAACTTGTCAACATTCATAGAAGAAAAAGGAAAGCATTCGTTTCAATCCCAACTAATAGAAATAAACGCAGCCGGACTAACAAAGCAATAAATCCACGTACCTTGAAGGATCCAGTCTATATTCCTAAAAGCTAGAAATTAAAGAAGTGGTCTTTGTACCTTCTTAATTGTTATATTACCAATCAGTGAACTTAAGAGAACATGGTGATCCATGGATACAGATTTTCACAAGTTGCAAGAGTATATCACAATTTCTAACTGATAACATCATTGCCAAAATAAACAAACTCACATATACTGCTGGAAAATGAAAATGATATTAATTGCAAACAGATTATTACCTCCATTCTATATCGAATTCTCCACAAGGAACAATAGCGACTTGTGATTCTCAACCCCTACGTTCCCATTGTAGGTATTAATGAGATGTGAATATGGCAATATCACATCCTTAACAAGTGATGCCTGATTGCGACCCAACCTCCCAAAATCCGAAACCAAGAGCACCCCGTTCCTCACCCTATCGATAACTTTGTATAAGATTTGGGATCCTCACATATGAATAGATGAACCCACCCATTATTCCTCTTCCGGTACACTTGCTCCTCCAACCAATCCATCAAACCCTCTTACATCTGAAATTGCCAATAATATAAGAACACATCTTTTTGCAACACATCGATTGAGGGAACTTATGCACAAAATCGAGAAAGAGAGTGGGGAGGCACGTTAGACTGCTAGTGCGCGATGGAAGAGAGATGCGGGTTGGTCGGTGATGGTGGTCGGCCATAATTGCCATCTCGGTATTCAATGGAAGACTCGAATTTTGGTTTGGGTTTAAGTTTAGGGCTCCTGTCATTTGGTTTTGTTTTATATATATATTCAAATTTTCATTTTAACTAAGTGGGTTGGGTTGGGCGGGTTATATCGATTTTGATGGGTTAACCCATAACCCGACCCGCCTAAGAAACACATAACCCAAACCCACCTAAAAAAAATGAAAAAACCAACCCAAACCGATCGAGTTGGTTCGGTTCGGTCGGGTTTTGCCCATTCCTAGCGCGAGCCATGTTGTCCCTCTCGTCTTGTGTCCCATTCAGAGCGGGTTGGGAGCATTGTCGACAACCATCAGTCGAGTTATTGCAGTTATTATTGATAGTATATTAATGATGTTACCATTACTAATAAGAGATGTAAATTATTGAATTTGCGTGACATAGCTTTTTAACATTTAGCTTAGCTGAAATTTTATGTTGCGTGTTGGTAAAGTTTAATAAAATGGTCAAATACATATTTTTTTTACACTTTTTTATGCATTCATAATTTATTATTCACATTTAATTTAAGATCTGTCACGTAAGTTATAGTGTTTGTTTGGTAAAGATTTTGTTAATTGATTTTTTGACCGTTAGAGATAAAACGGGTCCTATCTGTGAGAAAAGAATTCAAAAATAACAACCGAAATAGTGAAATAACGGTTAAAAAATTAATCTTAATTAAATTTTAAGCTATACCAAAAGTGCTCATAATTTAATTCCGAACAGATTAGACAAGTGAGTTGGAGAGGAAGATTAATGTCTAGCCATGACAAGAATTCAATTTGGAATTTTCTTCCGATTCACAATTCACATTCTCCCACGTGTCCACGTATCTACCCTACATTCAATTTTTGTTGATGGATAATACGTTTTGAACTAGTTCGACTCTAACCTTCCAAATATGGAGTAATTGTCTTTGATGGGTAGTTTCTATCACATGTAAAGACAAATCACACACTTGTCTTTGTAGAAGATTAATGTCTAGCCATGACAAGAATTCAATTTGGAATTTTCTTCCGATTCACAATTCACATTCTCCCACGTGTCCACGTACCTACCCTACATTCAATTTTTGTTAATGGATAATACGTTTTGAACAAGTTCGACTCTAACCTTCCAAATATGGAGTAATTGTCTTTGATGGGTAGTTTCTATCACATGTAAAGACAAATCACACACTTGTCTTTGTATATGTTCAATTTTCTATTTGAATAAAAATTAAGTAAAAAATGTAGGATGAAAAATAAATGTGTAATTTCCGAGTAGATTGATTCAATGTTAGGTAGAAAATCAAGCCCCTTTAAGAGGATAAGATCAAATTCAAAGCTGTCTCTAACCAACATGTAAACATTTTCATTTTCAAGTTTATCTTATTTTTTCTTTAGCCATTGTTTGGACTCTATTTCTGTGAAAGTATATTTTCTTTAGACTCATTTTCAATTACACGTTCTTGTATAGAATACTATTACACGTAAAATCAAAATTTGTGTTCTTTTTTTAACTATACATTCTCCAAACGGGACTTAGTATAGACAACAACGATCCCCAATTGGCTCATTGTTTACTTTAAGTGAAATCTCAATTTAGTTCATAAATTTGAATTTATGTATTAGGTCATCAAATATTAATTTTAATTTTAAATGAAACCACCTAGAAGTACAATATTTTGTACAATTTGGTTGACAAGAGGGCCAAGTGGAGATATATTAAAGTTTGGTGACTTAATTGAAATTTTACTGAACGTTTCATGACCGGCGTTGAAATTTAACAGCTTATATCGGTGATTACTGTAAACGAACCGAAATACTAACCAATAGTACGTACAAGAAAACAATGGGTAAATTTCCTACCACCTCCGCCACCGCCACCGCTTCCGCTACCACGGGGTTTAAACTGGTGGGGTACAACAACTTTGTGCGTGCCAATCCCAGGTCAGATTTCTTCTCAGTAAAGCGCTTCCACCATGTAGAATTCTGGTGTGGCGATGCCACCAACACCTCCAAGCGCTTCTCGTGGGGTCTCGGTATGCCCCTTGTCGCTAAATCTGACCTCTCCACCGGAAACTCGGTTCACGCCTCCTATCTTCTCCGCGCTGTAAATCTCCAATTCCTCTTCACTGCCCCTTACTCTGCCTGCATTTCTGCTCCTTCCTCCGCCACAATTCCCAGCTTCTCCGCTTCCACCCACCACTCTTTCACCTCAACACACGGGCTTGCCGTCCGGGCTGTAGGCATTGAGGTCCAAGATGCCTTCTCCGCCTTTTCCATGGCGGTTTCTCGTGGCGCCAAGCCCGTTTCGCCGCCAGTTGTGCTTGGGAAAAATCAAGCTGCTCTGGCCGAGGTTCATTTGTACGGTGACGTAGTTCTACGTCTAGTGAGTTATTCAAATTCAATTGAGACGGGCCCTGATTGTTTTCTGCCAGGATTCGAGCCTGTGAACCATGAAATGTCTTATCAGGAATTGGATTATGGGATCAGGAGGCTCGATCATGCTGTAGGGAACGTGCCTGAGCTCCGGCCTTGTGTTGAGTACATAAAAACGTTCACTGGATTCCATGAATTTGCAGAATTTACGACTGAGGATGTGGGGACGGCCGATAGCGGACTGAACTCGGTTGTTCTAGCTAATAACGACGAGACTGTGTTGTTGCCTTTGAATGAACCTGTACATGGAACTAAAAGGAAGAGCCAGATACAGACTTACTTGGAGCACAATGAAGGGGCAGGGGTGCAGCATTTGGCATTGGTATCTGAGGATATATTTAGGACATTGAGGGAGATGAGGAAGAGGAGTGGGGTTGGGGGGTTCGAGTTTATGCCTTCGCCACCACCGACTTATTATAAGAATTTGAAGAGCCGGGCTGGGGATGTCCTGACTGATGAGCAGATTAAGGAATGCGAGGAGTTGGGGATTTTGGTTGACAGGGACGATCAAGGGACTTTGCTCCAGATTTTCACCAAGCCTGTTGGTGACAGGTATATTCTGCAATTTTTATTATTATTATTATTTTTTTTTATTTTTTTTTTGGATATTTTATCCCTTATTTCGGCTATAATTGTTGACATTGTTTCTGATTCACTCTTCCATTGTTTACTCTGTTGCATTTACTCATCTGAGACATTGCTAAATTTTCATCTAATAGCTGAAGTTCCTTGTACCCAAAAAGGGGAAATGGTTAATAATTTGGTAGGATTAAAACATCAGCATTTGTACTCTAATCTTGATTGAATAAGCTAGATGATAATACTATATTCATGATATGAATTTTAGATGGAGAATGCTGACAATTTGTGAAATAAAAATTAAACCAGAATTAGCTAATTTTAAGCACCTAGATTATTGCGTTAGTAACTTTTTCAGGCATTAAATTTCATTCTGAAACTGTCTAACTAGAAACTTGATATTGTTTCTTAGCGTGTTGCTGAACTGTACATTTTGCTTCTCATATCTGTTAGATTCTTTGAGTATGAAGTGTTTTCTTTTCTGTTGCTGGCACTGTTGTGGCCTAAATGTGATGTTATGACTCTTGATATAGTCATTTTCTTGAAGGTTCAATGATTCTTAGGACATGTTTGATAGAGAGTACGGAACACCACGCATGACCATGAACAAAATCTTGACTCCTTAATTCTATCTAGTAGTGCCCACTCTCAAACATGACATTATGTATATTTCTTGTCTAGTTAGCATCATCCAATATCAAGACTTCGGTTCCTTATTGGAATTTGGTCTGTTAAGTTTTGGTTAAATGGTGTTAGCCCAGATCTAAATTATCTCTCTAGCTGTTATAAACCCACTTTTAGCATGGTTAAATGACAAAATGAGATGTATGTATCCTTGTCAATCCTCCATTGTTTGTTGGCTTAGATGTGTGAAGCCTCTAGCTTCCATTTTCTTTGATGTTCCAATGAATGCCTTCATAACCAGCATTTAAAGAAAGGGGAATGTGGATCCTCTTGTGACGATCCTTTAGATCTGAGCAAACCAGAAGGGAGCATTCACCAAATAAAAAAAACTGCTCCAAGTTTTGATTTTAATACCAACACTACTGATATCCCGATTAACATTGTCATCGGCTTTCTACATTTTCAGCTTATATAATGAATCAGGGCTACCCCTCCTCAGCCGTGAACAAATGCTTCCATTTTCAACCAGTAAAAGCATAGAAAATTTGTCAGTCTTCCAGAAAGCATACTAATTTTCTGTGTATGTGTGTCTAATTGGAAGATTTATGCGAAATAGATAGATATATTGGAAAAGGCTGAGTGGGAAGTGTTCTAATAGAGGCATATGGACATTTCTTAACGCGACATTCTCTTGAGCTTGCTTTATCTGTGGGTGATCAATTCACTTCTGTAGGAATAGTTTTTAATTTGAATGTAATTTGTGGTACTAAATCACCAGAAAATTAGCTTTTCCCAAATTTTGAAAATTCAAACTTCATATAAAATATACTCAAAATTGGCTCACCCATGTTGAAAAGACGGAATTGCCCTTGTCGTATGGTTTGCCCCACAGCTGCTGGAGAAGGCCATTTTCGGTACGCATGCCTCTCTCGGATGGATGGGAGAATTCTTGAATTTTATAACCAATTTTATTGCCTGATGGGACCCACAATCAAATCAAAGGAAGTGATTTTTCCATTTTAGCTTCATCACGCAAGGCTTAGAATTCTGATCCCTTTAAAACACTTGTTCATTATTTGATTAACTCTATCTCTGCTAATGTTATTTGTTTGGCAAGAAATAGTAAGGAATACTGAAAATTTTAAGTAGCTGGGATAGAAAAATGTTGACCGTGGACTGAAAGACTTATTTTGCTCTGAAGGTCAGTCGAGCTTAAACATCATGTGCTTTGTTTATTTAAGTTGAAGCTTGGACTACTAGAAATAGGTTATGCAAACTCATGAAGCTATAATCAATCCATTGAAGCATTTCCTTGTACATTTAGATACTTAAATCATATAAGATATAGTTTAGCCATACGTAAAGTCACTTGAAATTCTTGATGTGTGGTACTTGAACCGAGCATTGTCTTGGCACAGGGACGAGTTTGAGCTGTCGTTGATTAAGGGTTTATGTGTTGGACTGTATAAATTATAAAGTATAATGTATCAAAAAATAAACTAATATGCCAATAGTGGTATAGATTAGAAATATCATCCACATTATTAGCACCTGTGAAATATCAACTTGAATGTCCTGTTAGGATCAATGACATTTAGCCCATGTTTGGCAACCATTATTTGAACTCTTTTTTCTATATACTCATTTTCAATCGCACATTCACACAATAAAATAGTTTGCATGTAATTCCAAAACTTTTCATTACTTTTTAACTACGCATTTTTCAAAAAATCACTAATCAAAACATTGCTTTGGGCAAATAATGGCCATCAAACAGGGGCTTAGTGCCCGTTTCATGTAGATTTTTTGAGAATTGTTTTTGTGAAAAGTGATATATATATATATATATATATATATATATATATGTACAAACGTATACCTATGTGTACATGTACACATATGCATATACATTTACATGTATATGCATAGGTATGCATGTACATATATGTGTGTGTGTGTGTGTGCACACACATATATATACAATAGTTTGCATGTAATTCCAAAACTTTTCATTACTTTTTAACTACGCATTTTTCAAAAAATCACTAATCAAAACATTGCTTTGGGCAAATAATGGCCATCAAACAGGGGCTTAGTGCCCGTTTCATGTAGATTTTTTGAGAATTGTTTTTGTGAAAAGTGATATATATATATATATATATATATATATATATGTACAAACGTATACCTATGTGTACATGTACACATATGCATATACATTTACATGTATATGCATAGGTATGCATGTACATATATGTGTGTGTGTGTGTGTGCACACACATATATATACACTTACGTTTTTCAAAACGTTGCTGTCCGAATTCTTACTACAAAGACTTTTCAATGCTTACTACAAAGAATTTTGAATTTTTGGTACAAAACTTTTTATTACAAAAACTTTTTGCTACAAGATTTTGAATTGGTTTTACAAAGAATTGCCACCCGTAGTAATTTCTACCAGAATTGGTATTATTCGAAATTTTGCAGCAAAAAAATCTTGTACCAATAATTCAAAAGTCTTTGTAGTAAGAATTCGGATGGTAAAATTTTGAAAAAGTCTACGTGTTAATTTCTTAGAAGAATTAGATTTTTTCAATTTTAGATACAAAATTATTGAATATAGAACATAAGTGTATCCATGAATGGATTATTGGACAAGAATCAATGATGGATAAATGTAATAGATGCAAAATATATCCAGGACATAAAAATAGAAATCAATGTAAAAATTTATTATTATTATTATTATTATTATTATTATTATTATTATTATTATAATATAGCTTAATAGACCAAAAAATATCAAAAAAGGATTCGTAGGATTTAGGTATAGACAACGAGTATTTCTTGGATGTTAAAGGTTAGAATAGTCATGAAGAATATCAAATAAGATCGATCATATTTACATGTGATTTGGACGTGAAAGTTTTGTTCTTAAGTGAATGAATAGTTAATCATCAGATAATAGATACAGGTATAAATTCTAGCCCTTGTTTGAGCCCTATTTTTCCAACAGTTCATTTTTTCAAAACTTATATTTAACTGCATACTCTTCAATACAATAATTTTACATATATATCAAAAAATTTTATTACTTTTTAACCACATTCTCTGAAAAATAACTATTCAATAATACATTTTTCCCCAAAATAGGGTTCAAACAAGGGCTTAGCTTAATTAAAGGACCTGGTTACATGTACATCAAACTTTACATAATATGTTACATAATGTCACATGTCACTCTATCATTTGCCAGTTTAAAATACGATCAACTTTTTCATTTAATTTTTTTCCTCCACATTATTTTATGTAATCCCTTTTGTACCACTTTTATGTATAGGTAGCGTAATCCCTAATTAAAAGGGCGATTATGATCTCACTTGTAATAGCTGATTGGTTAAGAAGCTTGGGTATGTATACAAAAGGTCTCAGATTTGAAAACCTTTTTTCATCTTTTTTACTTCATAAAATGATCCAAATTTGGTTGCCGAAACCCACTCTGTTAATTAAAATAACTAGAATTACTTCTCACCTTTTATCCTCTTTGACAGGCCAACAATATTTATAGAGATAATTCAGAGAATAGGATGCATGCTCAAAGACGAGGATGGGAATGTTTTTCAGAAGGGCGGATGTGGAGGATTCGGAAAGGGGAACTTCTCAGAACTCTTCAAGTCTATTGAAGAATTTGAGAAAATGCTTGAAGCAAAACGAGTCAACGAAGCAGCTGCAGCATAGTATTTGTTACTAAATTTACTTTTCTAGGTGACAATGCATATATATCTGAACTTGAGAAAAGTAATTAAGTAAAGCCGCACTTCTCTTTCTTTGGATGTAACAATTTATCTGTGTTTTGCCCAACCGTGTTTTTACTATTGTAATTAAACGCATATGCTTCAGAACTAGACTTCTTGCTTCCAATTTCTGGGCCAAGATAGGTAAATTGATGCAAAGACTATTGTTCTTATGACGTTTTTGTCAGTTTTCTCTACAAAATAAAATGAAATAAATTGAGAATCAATTTCATCCAATCTTGAAGTCTTTACTATCCGAGTTTTTTATTTGTTTCTTCGAGGCTTACTAGATTAATCAACATTGTAAGAAGATATTTCATCTTGTATTTTACTAAAATTAGAAATCTCTTTGTGAGTTTTCCCTAATTCATTATTCAATGATAATGAATTCTCAAAATATTTTACGTTGTTTGATTCAATTATAATATTGGTCTCCAATTCTAGTTGTCTATATGAATTGCTATTATTAATATATCCAACAAAGACACTTTTGATACCTCTTGGATCCAACTTGATCCTTTTGAGGGTCCATATTTTTACAATATGCAAGATACTCTCATATTTTGAAATATCTAATATTTGATTTTCTTCCTTTCTACAATTCATAAGGAGAAACTTTGTAAATTTTGAAAAATCCTATTTAATATTTTGCATGTACTCAACAAAATTCCACCTTACAAATTAAATGGCAACTTAATATAAGTTAACATAGCATTTATCATTTCAACTAATTTAGTTCTTCTTTCAGCTAAACCATTTGTTCGGGTATCTTAGGTGCACAACATTAATATACTATACCTTGTTGTTCAGAAATGAGTTAAAATCACTAGAAAGGTATTCTCCTCCTTTATCACTTTTAAGTGTTTTATTTTTATGTTTAAGTGAATTCAACTTCATTTTTTAAAATTTTAAACATATCATATGTTTCATATCAAATGCAGCACATTGCTGCACTGGCCACGCAACAACATGTTGCTATCGGCAGCAACAAATTGCTGCTTCACGGCAGCATTTTGCTGCTGTGTGGCAACAACCTGTCGACAATGCTGCCGTGTGGCAACAACCTGTTGTCGACAGTTAAATTAACTTTTTTGGCCCTTGTAATTCTTGAATGCTTTTTCCTCTGTCTTCAAATCTTTCTCTTCAATCTTCAATCAGTTTACAAGATTCAACAGTTACAAAAATTACATAATTCCTATGACCCGTAGGCTCACAAGTTTAAATCTAATTGGAACGAAAATTAAATCAAGATGATGGAGTCATAATCATGTATCTTGTTACACACTCGAAATAACGAATTACATTAAGAACTGGCTACAAATAATTGGTTCACAACTTAAAATAATTCCATCATTCAATCAAAACATAATAACATATTCCTAGATATCGCTCGACTAGAACATGCAATCAAGATTTAGAAATAACAAGCACTGAACGATCTAGATTTCTCTGATACCGGATGTTGGAATGCGGAAGCGATATTATCCAGAAATTTAAAAGATTTCTTTAATTCAATAAACAAGATCGTTTAGTATTAACTTATATGTTATATTAAGAATAAGTGATTCGAACTTTTACCTAAATTCAATGGTCAATTCTTGAATTAATTCTGAATCACGAATTTTCAACTTTTTAATTACAAGAACTTGATACTTCAAACCTCAAAGTCTTCTATGGTATTCTCCAAAATCATAACTACATCGGTGGATGTGCACCTTCTTTTAATTAAATTAAGAAACTAATTATTGAATTGGATAATAATACACAAGTGAGTGACATCTTCTTTTAATTAAATCAAGAAAACAAATTCTTGGACTGGACATGTGAATAAGTAAGAAAATAATTATTATCTCTCGTATTCTCTCTCCAAATTTGAACACTATGAAATTATTGTATTATGATTTGTTGTGTTCAATTCAATGTCTAGATTTTACCCAGTCTCTATTTATAGAGATAAAGACGTTCCAATCTATGTACAATAATAATTCCAATTTCAAATAGAAGTCTTGACTAAAATCTAAATAGGAGTTATATAGGACTAGACGAATGCACTCATGAAGAACGAGACAATTGCCAATGCCAAGAGGAATCAAGATCAAAGCCATGAACATTAATGATCGGGCATATTGAAAAAAAATCATATTAGAATTTTTGAATCTATATGTAAAGGTAAAATGCTTTGATATTTAGCATTGAAATCTTGAAAGCTCAAAGAAAACTTCTTTATACCGGACGGTCTGGCAGTGTAGCGGACGTCGGTGAAGATTTTTTACCCAACAGTAAAAAATTGGAACGTTCTGTCACCTGACTCACCAACGGCTAGCAGACTTGTTCGGTACCTAGAGGACGTCCGGTATGCTTGTCCGGTGGGGTAATTTTTTTTTTTCCATTTGGAAGATCTTTGAGTGCTATAAATACCACATTTCCTTCCATATTGAATAACTATTCATGAGCATTAAGTGAAGTATTTATTGATCTTCCAACCTCATTTTTCTACTTTTTTAAAAGATCAAATCATTCATTTATTGAAAAACCTTTTTGAGTGAATTATTTTATCTCAACTAAAGTTTTTCAATCAAAAACACTTGAACTACCTTCTTTGCTATCCATTGAAGTGTTAGCCTACTTTTCTCTCATTATACTCAACTTTGATATATTATTTATTGAGAGAAAAGCTTCAAATTGTAATTTTAAACTTGTGGGTTGTGTTGAAGTCCCACAAAAATCAACATTGTAAAAGGATCGGTGCTTCTTGGTTGTAAGTCACTGGAAGCTTTGTAAAAAGGGTTGGATTGCACCATAAGTCAATCAATATAGTGAAAAAGGTCTTGTTCGTGACGGAGAGCTTGATAACGGAGGATGTAGATCGGTTGAGTTGGATCGAACCTCTTATTAAATCGTTTGCATTCTCTATCCCTTTTACTTATTAGCTTTACATCATCTTTATTATTCATTTTCGTATTTGTGCAATAGATACATCTAAAATTGATTCTCGAAAAAGTTTATAAAATCAATTCACCCCCTTTTTGGTTAGTCAATCTTGGGCTTTCAATTAGTATCAGAGCAAGGTACTCTTTTTTTTTTTTTTTTTTAAATTACAATCTTGAGAAATGGTTAACCCTATGTTTCAAAATCTTGAGGGGCATTCCACAAACCAACCTCCTTTCTTTGATGGAACACACTATAATTATTGGAAGGCTAGGATGATAATTTATGTTCAATCCATTGATTATAACATTTGGGAAATTATCGAATATGGTCCTTATATGCCTACCAAAACTATCAAGGTTGATGGAAGACCCGACCAAACTATTCCAAAATCTAGAGAGGAAAATGATGATGAAGACAAAAGAAAATTGTCACTAAATGCCAAATCTAAGAACTTACTTTATTGTGCATTGGATATAAATGAATTTAATCGTATTAGTACATGTGATTTCGCATTTGATATTTGGCATGCATTAGAAGTTACTCATGTCGGTACTAGCAAAGTGAAAGAAACCAGAATTAATATTTTGGTTAAGGAATTTGAAAATTTCTTTATGAAACAAAATGAACCTATCGTTGATATGATTACTTGTTTTACCACATTGTCAATGGCCTAAAAGGATTTGATTGAAAATATACTAACGATGAACTTGTGAGCAGAATGCTTAGGTCCCTATCCGAAGATTGGAGTCCATTGAGGATGTTAATAGAAAATACCAAAGATATAAGTACATATCCTTTGGAAGAACTCTATGGAACATTGATGGCTTATGAGCTCAACAATGTCGAGGTCAAGGAGAAGATAAGAAAAAGCAAAGAGGAATCAAAAGAATCCTCTAAACGCCAAATAGCTTTAAAGTCCTCAATTGAAGAAGGAACAACAAGTGATAACATGAGTAATGAAGAGTTTGATGATTTGGTTCTTCTTGTTAAAAAATGGAGGGGCTTCCAAAATAATCGAAAATTTCAAAAGAAGGACGAAAAAGTTGAAGAGAAAAACAAGAAAATCAGACGCTACGATTGTGACAAGCCCGGACACAAGAGAACCGAATGCCTAAACAAAAGGAATAACATCAAGAAAAAGGCATTACAAGCTACATGGGATGAAAGTGATGATGATCAAAACGAAAATGATAACCAAGATGAAATTGCCAACATGTGCTTCATGGCCATCAAAGATGAGGTAAATTCTTTTGATAAATGTTCATATAATGAATTGGCAATTTCCTACGATGAAATAATTGAAGAATTTGAAAAGCTTGCATTAAGTCACTCCTTTCTTAAAAAGAAAAATTCTTCATTAAAAGAATAAATAAAGAAAAATTCGGAAAAACAAAAAGAAAATTACGATTTATTGATCAAAGAAAACTCTCTTTTAAAGAAAAAGATTGAGGACTCGACAAAAATTATTCACAAATTTTTTCAAGGAAAGAAGAATTTTGACTTAATGCTTGGAAATCAAAAATGTGTTTTTGATAAAGGAGGGATTGGATACCAACCCTCCTTGAAGCAAAAATCTCTTGAAAATATATTTGTTAAATCTTCATATTCTTCCACTTCAAAAATTACATGTAGCTTTTGCAATAAAAATGGACATGTTGCATTCAATTGCTTAACCAAAAAGAAATTATACTTTCAAAGAAAATATAAGTGGATACAACAATCCACAAATACTAACTACCAAGGACCCAAGTTTGTATGGGTACCAAAAATAAAAAATTGAATTACCTTTGTAGGTATCAAAGAAAGTAAGGATGTTCAAGACACATGACCGGAGATAGAAAGCTACTAACAAACTTCAAGGAGAAGAATGACGGTCATATGACATTCGGTGATAATGCTAAAGGAAGAATCATTGGAATCAGAGATATTGGTAATCACTCTTCTCCTAAAATTTAACACATTTTACTTGTTGATAACCTCAAACATAACCTGCTTAGCATTAGTCAATTGTGTGATAAAGATTATCATACTAATTTCGACTCTTCAAAATGCCTTATAAAGGATGCTACTTCAAAGGAAGCAATGTTCATAGGTAGCCGAGTAAAAGATGTTTATATCCTAAATATTGAGTTTGAAAATGATGAAAAATGTTTACTAAGCCTCAAGGAAGATACATGGTTATGGCATAAGAAATTAGGCCATGCTAGCATGGATCTTCTCTCAAGAATTTCAAAAAAATGTTTCGTTAAAGGATTGCCAAATTAGAAATTTGAAAAAGATAAAGTTTGTAATGCTTGTCAATTTGG